ACTTTCCAATTCACCAAATCAGTCGTTAAACACTTCTAGCTTCTCTTCTTTCATTCATTCATTTTCTCGACGAAAGCCTGTAGAGTCTTTTCACCTTTTTTGCATGTGATCAAAACGGAATAGTTTATTATTTATGATGTATTGGCAGAGCGTAACGGTCGTGCGAACTAACGAAGGGAGGAACAAGCACAATTATAATAGGATAGCTTAACAAAAAAAAAAAAAAAGGAATACAAAATAATTCAGCTTTACCCCGACACTCCGTTTCTACCATCATATATATTCAAGTACTTTTCTTATTGATTAAATACGTAAATTTGTCTTCGTTGCATTTTTTTTTAATGCTGCTGGATGATTACCCCCCCCTGGTTTCAAATGTCAATGCATAACCTTCTTGATCAATTAGTGGCTATTCAGTAGAACCAATGGCTGGAGAATTATATAAGCAAGTCTCCAAATAACGTTTATTTTTTGTTACTCATGATTCCGGACGGGGCCCAAAAAGATCCGGAGTCTTTTTCTATTTTTAAACTTTGGTAATGCTTTAGAAAATAAAGATAATTTGATTTGCAATGGATAAACGAGGCTTAAGACAAGATAAAACATTATGATATTGATGGCCGTGTACGCGAGTTATCAAAAGATTTTCCAAATCCCGTTTTAATCTTTTAAGAGATTATTAGCACTTTTTTTTCTGTAAAAAAAAAGTCTTATTGTACCCACAATGAAATCCGTTATACAATAAAACATGACCAGAAACATGAATTATACATTCTAAGTATTATTTAGTACGTGATGATGGAGATTCGACGGCGCATCGGAATAACGAAAGATGCCTTCCAGAAAATAAGCAAAGTATTAAGACATAAAGATCGTTAGAAACAAAGAAAATATTTGTCTCTATTTCTGAATTAAGGTATCCAAACTATTTACACTATTTAAATTGTTCAGGCTGTTGTCCTCATCTTTACTGTCATATTCACGACGTTTCGTTTGCTATACGCTTCGGTTTTCTTAAGTTGGAATTTCGAACCGAACCTCTTATTTCGTTCACCAGGATAGATTATTCTAATCCCACGTGTGATGCCATTTCTGGATATCTCAGTTTCAGATAATTCCCTTTAATAACTTAACTCTTCAAGTTGGTTGAAGTAATCCCTAGGTGAAAAAAATAACTTAAATTACTAAAGGGAATTAACTAAAACTGAGATATCCAGAAAAGGTACGGCACGTGGAACTAGAACAATCTGCCCCGTACACTAAATACAAGGTTCGTTAGAAATTCCACCGTCTATTGTCCGAAGAAGGCCGCAGCATACAACTGCTGAAACTTTGTGAAAATGTCAATAAAGATGAGGACGACAGTCCAAACAATGTAAATAGTGTACAAAAAAGAGCGTTGAAATGCTATGACTTATTTATCCTCTAATGAATGTCGGGAAATGTCCTTACAGAAAAGTGATTTAGTTGTGCTTATAGATACGGATCAAAAGTGGAAAGTTGATATTTCTTGGATACACAATGAGAAAATAGGGCTTGGAGAATTTAACACTCACAGGACATACTGATGGCAAGACAAGCAAAGGGAACAGCGAGTAAGATACTTAACCATTTGTATATTCCTTCTAGCTGTTTAATGATTACTTTGAAAAGCTTGACTTGGATAATCGCAGATCATCGTCGAAAAGGCAATGCCTCTAACCTTTAAGAATAATGGAGTGTTCATGCCATAGCTCGGCTGGATCTGTCCATTCCACACTTGCCTATCTTGAGAGATTCTAAAAGCATTTACGCCATCTTGTGTGTCATGAATCATTTTCCATTATATAACCCCTTTTCTGGAGACGAAACATCGCATGCCTCTCGCTGCACTAACGTTATGTCAATGGCACGTGCTCTGGCGGGATAAAACACTTGGCCCCATAAGCTCTGACCTTTAAAATTGGGATCTGACTTACCAAGTATACAGGGATGAATCACTCTTGTTCCATTCGTATTCTGTTAATAAGAAGTATTAACAGCTTCTTCGCAAGGTTTACTGTTTCATGGTACAGATTCACGGCCGGATGTTCACCGGATCACTAGAATCTTTATCTTTAGGATTATCCGTTGTTTTTCTACATAATGTCATGAACTTTGCTTCTTGTATATCCTTATGCTCAAACGACACCCCTAACCCACCTTCATTGAGTGGCTATTAGGCCTTATACGGAGTGAAAATTAGATTGAAAAGCGAAAGCGATTTCCTTCTACAGATGGAGGACGAAAATAACAAAGACGGGGCGTGTAAGCAACGAGACATGAAAAGTAAATGGGAAAATAAAAGAGACGTAAGATAAGAATGAGAAAAAAAAAATAAAGACAGTTGAAAATTCAGTAAAACACTTTCTTTTAATCATTTAATCTCAAGAAAGGAATTAAAGCTGTGGAGACTCAAAGAGTTACTGAGTGTTAGAGAATATGAGAAGAAAAAAAAAACTAGTATTAAGAAGAGCGGACAATAAAAGAACAAGAATTAAAAAGACAGTAGATAACGATTGACATTGCATTTAAATGTTTGATGATCGACATTAACTCGGAGGCAAGAAACAGGGAGAGAGTTCCAAAAGCGAGAAGCGCGATACTGTTAAAGTAAGAAACAGTTAGCATAGAACTTACAGTTACAGATAGCCATTCCAACTGTAAAATAATGAGACCTCCCCGCCAGTCTTGTATTGCGTTTAAATTCATAAAGTCTATGTACCATAGCGGAAAGTTTATCAGAAGAATTACCATGGAAATGTTTCGAGTAAAGACACAGGGAAGCTACGTTACGGCAGTAGGAAAATGACTGAAGCCGAGATGCTAGGTCAGGACTAATAACATTGCAGATTCATCTTGGGATTTCATGGAAATCTCTAAATATATATCATACATTATATGAAAGGAGGACTTGGAAAATTTAACCTTCACAGGATATGTTAAAGGAAGAAGGGTTTGAGAGAAACGCGGTTTAAGCTCCCTAATATGTTTGGGTGAAGGGATTTCAACGCAAGTTTTTATCTCGGGTGTTTTTAGTATGCAACAGCGATGGTAAAGAGTTAAAATTTTGGAAAGATCGTCCACGTCCTAACGTGACACAGCACATAAAAGCAAACGTTGTAAATACTTTAGATGCTGTGTGCGCCACCCAGTGAGAATCGGACTCAAGACATGGCTAAAAACTGAGCCTAGTGTTTTATAACGTTTGGCCTACATCCAAGGACTGCACCAGGTTTATACAAAAATGCCTTCCCAGAGCTAATGAAAGTATTAGAAAAGAGGGAAATTTATTAGTGTTATGTAGTGGTTTCACAGTGGAGGATTGTATTTATACTAAGTCGGTCCTAAAATAGGTTCGACGTACAAAACGTTAGGAACTTGATATAATAGGTAATGACGAGGAGAAATCTAGTCGTGGTCGCTGATAGTTTAGTATACGACAAACGGTCGTCCGACATCGACTGATTGACCAACTCGATATTTAGTCCCCCCCACGAGAGCATCATGTGGCACAAGGCCGGTTTAACGTGGGATATCTGAGCCCGTGGTATCGGCCAAAAATATGCCCATTGAACCCGTATAAGCGGGTTCAGGGTCGGTTTACTTCCCCGAAAGAGAATCCGCTCTTTGGCGTAGCCTCTTTCGGTTTCTTCCCCGCCCGAAGGCAGAAAGTTCAACCGATCAGCCAGTCGACTAACTGACCAACTCTTTGCCGACTTCTGCTACTACTCGTACTTATTATAGGTGGGAGAGTCAATTAACTATAGAAAAGGTGTGTTCCACTATAACAATTAGAAACAAAGAGGTCCAAAGTTTTCTATAATGTCAGTCATCTTATAGGACTGTGAATGCTGGAAATGTTCCTCATCTATGAATTCGTAACGGTGATATTAGCTGTTTCCTTACGAGGAATCATTTTGCATTTCATTGACAGAGCAGCCAGTATTACTATCGCTTGAAAATGTGTTTCTCTTAAAACATTTTTTTTTCGGGAAAATAGGTTACTTGTGGCAACAGAGATGTGATTCTGTAGAATGCCAGAATATCTTGTGTGCAACGACGAAGTTTTAAGAAAACTGCGAATGAAATTGGCATATTCAGATTTCAGAAAGATACAATTAACATAATGCCGAAAGAGGGCAAGCAGAATTTTACACTCACAATGCGTAATCAAGGCGCAGATTGAAACAACGTGTAACCTACTCAACAAGCTTGTGTCGCTTGATGGTAAAATAGGGGCTGAGTGGGATAATAAATAGACAAACACTTCTAAGGTCTTCAAAAGATAGGAAATTATGAAGAGTCATGATTTCCAACGCCTTGTAGCGATATCGTATATAGAAGAAGATTAAAGAGCCCAGGTTCGTCAACGTGAACCATTTAGCTATGGAAGAACGCACAGCAGTTAGCTTAGTTTGGTTGTATGAAATGTAGAATCGAACAGTTTTTTTTTTTATTTACATTGGATGTCTTTAGTATTCTTTGGCATGTTGTCAATATGTTGTGCGTTGAAAATCAGCCAAAAGTGGTCGTCTGCTGCTCAGAATAAATACAAGCTTTATAGATAGACGAACGCAGTAATATGAATAATGTAAATGCATCGCTAATTATTTTATTCTACAATGATATGGAAAATTAGGAAGAAGGCGATTGCCAGTGGTCAATCGATAGTGCAAGCATTATTGAAAAATAAATGGGGTAATTATATGCGTAATGTAAATGTCTTGTTAATGATTTTACTGAAGAGAAAATGCAAACAAAATCAGAAATAGATTTTGTCAGGAGCCAGGGATTCAATCCACGTAAAGCGGCATAGGCTGTTTAATCTGTCTACGGCATTTACTTCAAAGTAATTACATTTCTTTGACTAACGTTCAGTTGCAATGGAAATTATCATTCGGTCAAGTGAAAATATCTTACGGAATGTTTATTTTACAGGTTGAAACAGCACGTTAAATTAGAAGATACCTAATAATTTGTTAAATAAAACACAAACCCGCACACACACATAGATAGATAGATAGATAGATAGATAGATAGATAGATAGATAGATAGATAGATGGGTAGACATGGAGAATATATAGATATGTAGATCAATATGAAAAGACTGATAGATAGATAGATAGATAGATAGATAGATAGATAGATAGATAGATAGATAGATAGATAGATAGATAGATATGTAGGTAGGTAGGTAGATAGGTAGGTAGATAGATATGAAGAATATATAGATAAGTAGATAAATATGAAAAGACACAGGCAGACAGATAGATAGATAGATAGATAGATAGATAGATAGATAGATAGATAGATAGATAGATAGATAGATTTGAAAACATAGATATATGTGAAAAACATATATATATATATATATGAAATGATAGATAGATAGATAGATAGATAGATACTTATGAAAAGACAGATAGATAGATAGGTAGGTAGGTAAGTAGGTAGGTATGAAGAATATATAGATAGGTAGATAAATATGAAAAGACACAGATAGATAGATAGATAGATAGATAGATAGATAGATAGATAGATAGATAGATGAAAACATAGATATATGTGAAAAACATAGATATATATATATATATGAAATGATAGATAGATAGATAGATAGATAGATAGATAGATAGTCATGAAAAATATATAGGTAGATAATTATGAAAAGATAGATAGATAGATAGATAGATAGATAGATAGATAGATAGATAGATAGATAGATATGAATCAGTAAATCTTTATTATCGTGAAACATTCTTAAAATCCAAAATATTATCTGGCTTGAAATAACTTGAAAATTTTTATTAGCCATAAAATATCAGTCAATCAATCACTCAATTGTCTATAATAACGATTTATGATTTAAATGGTTATTACTAGATGTGTGATACATTGATGTGATCACCAGCCTTGTGTTGTGTGAACCTTATTATTTAAAAAAAAAATCTGTATTATATTTGCGTGTACTTCTAGGGACATTTTTACATTTATAATCATTTAATATTTCCTTCGTTTTTTTTTTCAATCAATTCACTCCAAGCAAGGCGATAATGCCTCTGATACGCCAGGGACTGCCGTGAATAAAGGTTAGAATGAGAATTCTTTACAAGGAACTGGAAACCCGATACTAAACAGAAAACAGGCGATAGACCCCTTACTCGTTTTCAAAAGATCAGGCAGGAATCGAATATTCTACCTCTTTATAACATCGACTGGAACAGTTTTCTGGTCTTTGCTAGAAAAAAAAAAAAAGAAAAGAAAAAGAAAACATTTATATCAACCTTCAGATATCTCCTTTAACGGTACTCCCACCTTCTCACTGTCCAACCCTACCCAGTCGTCAGATCGGAATTCAACGCAGTTTTTATCATAAAGTCTTGTTGCGGAAGTCAGCTTAGGCTGTCTTCGCTTGTTACCTTCGACAATCGATGCAATCGTCGCTGAAAACTCGGTTAAGTCCGTCTTATTTGATTTCCTGATTCCCGATCTAAAAGGTACAATTGGATTTCCGATCGTGCTCTTGGACGAGAAATCGCTAAAAGTTGCTTCACTTATAAATCTTTGACCGCTTATCGGAAACGATACTACCATTTTTTTTTTTTTTTAATCTTTCTTCGGCGCTCGATGGACATTTTTTTTTCTTTGCTTTCTCAGCTGCGCCATTTTTGCCAACGATTAGTCGACTGATTTCGATGACACTGGTCGAACTTAGATCGCCAGATCTACAAACAAGAAATAACGATTTGAAAGTCAATACTCAACACTCACTCCAGCTTCACTTGGGCAGGTGTTTTCTTTTTGTTTTGATTTTTACTACTACTACTACTACTACTACTACTACTACTGCTGCTGCTGCTGCTGCTGTTGCTACTACTACTACTACTACCGCCACCACCACCACCACCACCTTCATCCGCACTTTTTCGTTTTCTACCGGGGATATTCCATTACGAGTATTCTCTATCAAGTCGAAAACACCTTACGCAGAATATTAGTATTACCAAGCAACTCAGATTTCTATGTGATGTGATACTGTGTTGTTTTTTATTATTATTATTGTTGTTGTTGTTAATAATAATAATAATAATAGTAATGATAATAATAATAATATTATTTGTGTGTGTGTTATGTTTCCTGCTTTGTATCCTGTAGAGCCGGGTCCAAACTATGGTTCTTAGGCCGTAATTAGAATTGTCATTTAATTGATAGCACTTTTTTAGTAAAAGAGATGTTCCTAGCAGGTCTAACTTCTAGGCAACTAGTATGTTGATGTTAGCTGGGATACTGTTAGTAAAATTATCCATTTCTTTTCTCACGAGGCCCAGAGCTCTAATTACTATTGGTACAGTCTCAATCTTTATTCCCCACATCCCGTTAATCTTAATCTCCATGACTTTGAATTTGGACAATTTCTCGATAATTTCCATGGAAGTGTTTCTCTCAGATGGTACTGCTCTGTCAATAAGCAAACGCTTCCTGAATTTCTTGTCTTTTATTATAATATCAGGTCTGTTTGCTATACCCTGTCAGTTTGAATTGGCATGTCCCTGAGGATAGTGACATCGTTATTTTGGGTAACTGTGCCTGTTTGGTGCTCATGTCATTCTCTCGTTGGTTTCCATTTGGTACTTTTTGCATATGTTCCAGTGCACATATATCGCTATCTTGTTATGTCTGTGGATATATTCCTTTTCTGCTGAGAAAAATGGTCGACAGTTTCATCATAATTTCCGCAGATCCTGCATTATCGGACAATGATTCAAGAAAATTCATAGAGGATTATGAAAACAGAGAAACCAATATTGGCCTTTTAGTAGCTGGAGACATTTCTCCCAACTTACGACTATATCACGTTCAAACATCGGTTGTGATCCGATCACCAAAACTAAGCAACGTCGAGCCTGGTCAGTATCTAGATGGGTGACTACTTGGGAATACCACGTGCTGTAAACTTCGATGTGAGTGCGTTTTAATCGGTAAGGACGCGGAATGAGAAGTTGGAGAGCCGAGTTCGAATTCCAGTCGAGTTAGTGACATTCACTTACGTGCAAATAACCTTGGGCGATAATGAATCGAAAAGAGACATGGTCACCCAATCGTGTTAAATCCGTCCAACCAACACGCATCGGGCTGTCGCGGTAGGGTAATGATCCTTTCTTTTTTTTATTTTTGTGATCTAGGGAAAGCCTACGTTCAACAAAGGATCTTTACAGGCTGACAAGAAGAAGACGTTTCTCTTAAGATTTATTATTTTACAGGGTCCCCCCTCCCCACACCTTAAAATAAAAAACAGGAAATTTTGTCCGATTTATTTAATTATTGGAAGTTTTGAAAAATTGATAACTTTGGCATTCTAGAACAATAAATGGTTAAAAGATTTACATGTTAGTTAATTTTTTAGTTCATTCATCAGTGTAACCCGGATATAAGAGACCCTGATATAAGAGAAACCCGGGTATAAGATAGATTTTCTCTGGTCCCAAAGTGTTCCCATACTTACCTAAACAAAATAGACCAAACTCGGATATAAGAGAAACCCGGATATAAGAGACTTCTTCTTCCGTCCCGACAACTCTCTTATATCCGGGTTACACTGTAGTAAAATATATAGTTAATAATTTTTTATATGTTAGCTATTTTTTAATCTTATAGTAAATCTAAAATTTCCTGTTTATTTGAGGGGCACTCTGTATTATCGAGGAATTACCATGCCTTCTTGGGAAAGATAGTGGAGTGGTTTCCAAGGTTAGAAAGTCCTGTTTAAACCCTGGTTGGAGAGAAAAAGAAATATATTAATGTTTTTTCCCACTGCCTAACTACCTCTACCGTGCAAATCACCATACTGACAGGCTGGATCTATAGCATCATGTCGTCTCCTCTACATACAAACACTACTGTCTGCCTGAAAGTGCTGTAACCTAATTTATCTAAATCGATGATATGGCACGAGTCTTACACAGCCCAGCAAATTTATTCTGACTTATATGAGACACAATTACAAATATCATAATGTTTATAATGGCTTTAATTTTTTTAAAGTCATATCCCTTCAGATTCTGTTTGTTTGTTTGTTTTTTCCTTTTTTACTACAGGCTGCCCAAACAAAAAACAGGAAATTTGGTAGAGTTTATTTAATTGTTGGAATTTTTGTTACAGTTATTTGAAGCCAAAGCAAAGGATAGCAATTTAGTAGCTTAAAACAGAACAAAAACACTAATGTTAGATGTAGTGTTCAAACTAAATAAAAACTTCCTGGTGTTTTTTCAGTCCTCAAGTTGGATGTTCTTAGGAGAACAATCAACTCATTTTGAAATTTGATAACTATGAAATACTGGAACAATAAATGGTCAAGAAATTTACATTAGTTAATTTTTTAGTTCATTCATATAGTAAAAAATATATTTTTTTATATGTTAGTTAAATCTTTTCATCATAAAATTTCCTGTTTATTTGTGGAGTACCCTGTATTATCGATGAATTGTCTTCTTGACAGTGGTTTCCAGTTGCCTTCTTCATGATTTGAAATTCACAGTTTTTCTTTCTTTTTGATTTGATCTAAGATGAGGTGTTAAAACTAAAGGACTCTGGCAAAATTTCTTGGCGTTTTTCATTCCTCATCTTGCATGTTCTTAAAGAGAACAATCACCTTGCTTTGACAATTTGATAACTCTGAGATACTGAAACAAGAAATTGTTAAGAAATTTATATATTAGTTAACTTTTTTTTTAGTTCATTCATATAGTAAAATATATAGTTATATTTTTTATATGGTAGTTTTTTTTTCCATCATATAGTAAATCTAAAATTTTTTTTTTTTTTTTGTGAGCACCCTGTCATCAGGATTGTCCTGGAATTAAGCTTAAATATATATTTTATGACACGGTTCCGTTTTGGTAATTTATTTATCAAAATAAGATGTCGCAACATTATTTTGACCATTCTCTATTTCTATTTAAATTCTTTTCTGTATTACTAATTCTTAGCACAAAACTAATGATTTCAAAAACGATTCTACTCGTAAAGAATACAATACAAAAAAAGTTATCGGTCACAACGAAAAGCCTAATCAAATTATGATCTTTGGTCATTTTGCAAGAATTTTCGACCCGTGAGCTTTTCAGTATCCCCGTGTGGGAGGCTTTATCAAGTTATTAAAACCACCATCCCAGAATATTTCTCAGCGCCTTCTGCAGCCACTAATTCAAATAATCATATTCATAGCGTAATTTAAATTTTGGCCTTCTTTTGACTAACTAGTTGGAGTTGGTTGAATTATTTCCAAAACCTTTATAAAGGAAGACGTCCTCTTGAGTGTTGCGTTGGCTATCAAAGCATCGCTATCGTCAAGTGATACAATGTGATTTGGGGAATGATGTCGCCAAAACGCCTGAATTGATTTTGACTGGGACCTTTCGGCTCTCTCCAGATCCGACCCCGCCGAATCTGAAAAGTAGAGAATGGAGAACGAAACATATTTTGGCATACTTCCAGTCAATCTAGGTAGAAACGAGCGCTGTTTACTAACAAGAAAGACACGCAGAGATCGGAATCACAGTATTAACCGAATAATGGCTTCCCCTGATCTCAGCAATTAACTGGCACCGACTGACACTAATTAATTTCGCGGTTTTCGCCATCTGTTCAGCAGGTTCTAACAGCATTATCTATTTAGTTGTTAATTCTCGAAGGCTTTCCGGTAACATGTCAAAAGTTACTTCTCCGGGAGAAGCTTCAATCATAGCGGAAGTCATCGTCAGGAGAGTGGATGATTTCTATATAGCAAGGCTAGAGGAAGTAAGCTTGGTTAATTTAACAAGATATCAGCTCTTTCCGGATTAGTTAATGTTGAATCTGTGTGCGCCTAGCGTACAGGTTACGGACGTGGAAAGTCAGATTGTTGTGACGCGTTCAAATACCGTTGAGTTAAATTTTATCTCAGATGCCTTGGTAAGAGATGTATCAATGTCTCCACCTTCTACCTAGGAGTTAACTGTAGAAGATCTTAAATAAACACAATGCCTTTTTCATCCCCCCCGCAAAAAAGGACTGCACCTTTTATTTATTTTTTTTTAATTATTTTTTAAACATTACGCCCCGAGCAAGCCACTAGGATGCAGGGGGTTGCAGAAGATTTGGAGCAAGAGCAGATAGGAGTGATAGAAGAAAGGATGAGGAGAAGAAGAGTGGATAGATCAAGGCAACTGGAGATGTCGATTGACATTGCATTTGAATAGATGTAACAATAATAGAGAAGGGTGTTCCACAGGCGAGAGATGCGAGATATGAAGCTATTGGAGTAGAAGAGACGGCTACATTTAAAAGGTTCTACAGTGAAAGTGTGAGAGCGGGATGCCAGCCTCGTAGGGCGCTTGAATTCATGAAGTCTGGGAATCATTGAAAGCAGCTCATCGGAACAATTACCATGGAAGTATTTGTAAAAAAAAAAAAAACAGACAGAGGCGACGGTGCGTCTGTGAGAGAGCGACTGTAGACGAGATGCCAGATCAGGGCCAATTATATTACATATCCGCCTCTGGATCTTGTCAAGAACTCTGAGGTAAACAGAGAGTGCATCAGACCATATATGGCGGCAATACTCCATGCAAGGGCGAATGGTTGATTTGTATAATGTAGATGACACAACCTTGGACTTCTTTGGAGGGGAAGAAGCGTGTTTCCACTGTATGGATTGTCTCTTTGTCACTGGCTCAAAGTAATGAACCTGATACTCGTCCTTGTTTTGGGAACATTCAAGGTAATCAGCTGGATCTGTCGCCAAAAATGTCAGATTTTTCTGTGAAATGATGAGTCTGGTGTGCTGTTGATCAGGTGTCAGAAGAAGTGGAATCCCCACCTCGAGCAGGAATCTTCGAAGTTGTTAAAGGTGTTAGTTAGATCCAGTCACCGGACCCAAAAGAGAGTGAGTTCAATACCTGGTTAAGGCAGTGGAGAACTTGGAGAGGGGAATTAACAGGAGATACCTGATAATTGACATCCATTAGACATGGCACGTGGAACTAGAACAGTCTAACCCAGCGAGCGAAATAAATGATTCAGTTCGACATTCCAACCATCTAAAGAAGGCCGAAGCGTACAACAGCCGAAACGTTGTAATAAATATGGCGACAAAGATTAGACTATAGACGAATAATGTAAATAGTATATATATATATATATATATTTTATATTATTTTATTTTCAACATCATCACTTGATAAGACACAGAGTGTGTTGAAACAAAATGGCTATTTTTGTAGTGTTTTTTATAACATACTTATGTTATAATTTTTTATAAATAATAATATATATATATATATATATATATATATATATATATATATATAGATAGATAATATTAGTGGAAAATATACATATATATGAAAAATATATATAAAAAATTCCCATACATGTATATTTTCAGAAAAAAATTTTCCAAGAGGAAGGATCCAGGTAGATCCAGATATATATATATATATAATAGTTGCTGAAAACATTAGGTTTATAATACCCAGAAATTCATACGCAGATGTCCTCAAGGACACATGGCACAGTGGATGAAGGCGTTGGTTAGATCCAGTGACAGGACCCAAAGAGTGTGAGTTCAATACCTGGTTAAGGCGGTGGAGAATTTGCAGAGGGGAATGAGTGAGATTGAAATTTGACCGATTCGGTGTTTACCGGACTTTTTTCCCCTAAGTCGGCAGGGAAACATTGTTAATTCTAACGTTTTTTTTTTGTTTTTTTGTTATATATAAAGAGCCGTGGAGATGTTTCCTGTCTCGTCGCTTTTTGTATATGTATATATCTAAATATTCTTGGGTGCTTATGTATTATAATCTGAGTGTGTTTGTATTGTTTTACGCGAGAGGTTAGCACCCCACTCACACAGCCGGGATTAAAATGTATACAAGACCAGCTGATATTAGCGTCTATTCTAACGTAATTTCAAT